CAGTCTCATTCCCCCGCGCCTTTGCCATCTTGGCTCGGCGCTTCACTGTTTTGCCTCATTGTGATGTATTGCAGTGCTTGTTGCCTCGTTCAGGTGATTGACTTTGCATGCTCACTCGTCTTTGTGTTTATCCTTCTTGCTGCGTAAGCCTCCCTGGCTCGGCAGTCGCACCACTTCTTTAGTTTTGTTTTATTGCAGGGTTCGATGCTTCGTGAAGGTGCTTGAATTTGGCAGAATTGCTCGTGTGCGTGCTTCTTACTTATGATGCCGAAGCCTCCCTGGTTCGGCAGTCAGATACTTCGATGCCGACGCCATCCCGGCTCGGCACTCCTCAGTGGCTGCGCGTGGATGCATGCTGCGGTCTCCGTTTCGGAGGCTTCTCCTCTCTACTTCCCGAATGTTCCAAAGTGCGGTCTGGGGTTCAGCTGACCCAGCTGTGGACGCCCTGACGCAAAAACAAAAAACAAGTTGCCGGCTTACCGCCGGCGTCCATGTTTGGGGAGTTTATGATAAGTTCCTGTTGCGCAGCGTGTTCCGGCAAGCGTTTTCCTGCTCGTTCCCAATACGCCTGTCGGAGGACTTCTGCAGCTCCTTCGAAGCTCTGTGGGGGGTCCTGCGAAGTCCCTTTCCCAAGCTTGCGAGATTCCCAGGCGTGTTTTCCAACGCCCTTGTACGCTTCCCCTGAAGGCATTTCCCGCGCCTTAGACTACGTTGTTATCCGTCAGCGAGCGAAGAACGGTATAAAATACACTGTTTCGCCGTCGGGGGCGCCCCCGACGGCGAAACAGTTTATTTTATACCGTTCTTCGCCCGTTAGATCCGGGTTGTGGGCGTTTCAAATACCTCGTAGAGCTTTTGATATGACCAGGGCTAGAGAAGTGTGGGCGCCGGGTGGAGCTAGTTGGCCGCCCTGGCCACAAGATGCAATGTGACAATTTCGCGTCGGTTTTTTTTGCAAGGCCGTGAGAGATTTGGCAATTCATGTTAAGAGCGCGCATTTCCTATCTCATTCAGTAGATTGCTTCATTTCGTTAAGATTTCACGGCTGTAGCTGCAATATCCTTTTCAAAATGGAGCGGGGTACCGCCCTTGCATCGACGCCCGAAACATGGATTTTTGCGTCGTCCAGTTAAGTGTTTCTGGTGTTCCGCCAAGTTTTGACTTCAATGCGTTGCGAGGTTGTTTCAGAATTCGCGGAGCTCCACGAGGTTTCTGGCGGTTGTCAGGTTGACGACTTACCGCCAGCGCCCAGTACTTCGCGGAGCTCTTGGCATGACCAGAGCTCGAAGAATCCGGGCGCAGCGTGCACTCGTTGGCCGACACGACCAGAAGAGACAATGTGGCAATGTGCCAGTTCTTGTTTCACACATCAAGTTTATGTGTTAAGCACATCGTTTTTGCATTTCGAGCATTTTGGGGTTCTAGTGACACATCGCGGTAGGCCGATGGGAATGCCGTGACGGTCGGTCCCTGCGCAAGCGTATTCTTATCTCACGCAGTAGATCATGACGCTTCATTAGTTAAATGTTCACAAATGCTGCTGCTCTCTATCAAGTATGACTGGGAAACAACCTTCCATCGGCCCCCCGAAAATGCATCGTTTGCGCCATGTTTCTATGTTCTCCTGGTGCTCCCACCGAAGGGTTCTGAACATTCCGAGGTTGTTTAAGAGGCCGCGGGGCTCTGCGAGGTTTCCGGTCTGGGCACAGGATTCGATTCCGGGTGGCTTTCAACTGCCCAAGTGGGAATAGTTTTGGCAGCTTATCCGCATCCAGAGGAGGAGGAAGAGGAGGATCAGGAGGAGAAGGTAAAGGAGGAGGAGGCGGAGGAGGAGGAGGAGAAGGCTGAGGAGGACGAGGAAGGGGAGGAGGAAAAGGAGGAAGCAGAGGAACATCAGGAGGAGGAAAAGAAGGAGGAGGAGGAGGAAAAGGACCAGTGTAAACCTAAGAGTCATCAACGATGTTGGAATGAACCCTCCCTCCAAGCTCCCGCTTCGTAGGCCCCTACAACGGTTCATTCCCACTGAGGGAACTGCCCCGTTGGAAGACAACCGTTTGAAGATCCTGAAGCGTGCCAAATATTGCCCAGAGTGCTGCGTCGTGACGATCCGGAATCGGACCAGAACGCCATTTTTGGATGTTTACACCGCGAATCAACATAACATGTGCGCCCACATAATCCTGAATCTTTCCACAACACTATTTTTGGTACGTTGATCATGGGAATCCGTTAAGCGTTCGCCACTGTTTAAAACGAAAATGCGCGGCGCTAAGGCAAGAGCCACATTTTCAAAACGAACGGGCCTCAATCCGTGAAGCTCTTGCAAATGTTTTAAACGAATGTGCGCGGCGCTAAGGCGAGAGCCACATTTCGAAGACGACCCGCCCTCAATCTGTGAAGCACTTGCAAATGTTTACAACGAATGTGCGCAGCGCTAAGGCGAGAGCCACATTTTTGAAAAGGACCCGCCCTCAACCCGTGAAACTATTTCAAATGTTTAAAACGAATGTGCGCGGCGCTGAGGCGGGAGCCACATTTTTGAAAAGGACCCGCCCTCAACCCGTGAAACGATTTCAAATGTTTAAAACGAATGTGCGCGGCGCTAAGGCGGGAGCCACATTTCGAAAACGACCCGCCCTCAATTCGTGAAGCTTTTGCAAATATTAAAAACGAGTGTGCGCGGCGCTACGGCGAGTGCCACATTTTTGAAAAGGACCCGCCCTCAATCCGTGAAGCTCTTGCACATGTTTCAAGCGAATGTGCGCGGCGCTATGGCAAGAGCCACATGTTGAAAGCGACCAGCCCCTCTATCTGTGAAACTGTTGCCACTCCTTTGCTTCAGAGTCATAAGTGGTGAGGAAGTCTCAGGCGTTTGCCCGGCCCGCCCTAAAAACTGGCCTCGGGGTGCGACAGGGAGAAGTTATCTATAAGGAGAAGGAATGGAGGAGAAGGAGAAACAGGAGGAGGAGGAGGAGGAGGAGGTTAAGGAGGAGGAGGAGAAGGAAAAGGGGGAGGAGGAGGATCATCGCTGATATTTTGAACGCTCTCTGCTGGGGGAAATTCTCGCTTCCGGCGTTGGCGACGACGACCGCGATGACGAGGACGAGAACGCTGCCGACGACTCTGTGCGCGGACCGTGCGACGGCACGAACGATTGGTGCGACGTTGGCGACGGCGGCCGCCCAGCCTCGGCTTTGCCCTCGGCTTTGGCCCGGGTCCTGGCCGCGGCTCCGGCCTCGGCTGCAGCATTGGCCCCGGCATCGGCCCCGATTCCAACACTGGTCTTCTGAGCTCAACAACCAGCTCTCCAGCCCCGGCCTCGGCGGTTCTGGCTGCGGCCCCGGCGCGCTGGCCGCGGGAGAGGGCCTCGCGCGCGACGAGGCGCGGCGAGAGGCGCGAGAGGCCCCGGGAGATTTGGGAGCGAGGGGTCCGGGCCCCTGGACTCAAAGCGCGCGCTTCACGATTCGCAAAGGTCCTCTCATAAAGAGCGCGTGCACGAAGCGTCCGACAGGAATCCGGCCTCCCTTGATGTGACTTATCGTCGTAGATCCCCCACGGCGGATCCAGGCCATGTGCGAGTAGTTACTTTGCGAGTGGTGAAGCGCGGTCGTCGATGAACAAATCTCCAGGAGTGAGGGGTGGGGCTCAAAGGATTATGCGAACGACTTGAAGACACGCCCACTCCGGGTCCAGAGGGACCGTGGTGGATATTCAGGCATCAAGGGGTCAAAAGTGATGACAGTTACAGATTTTCCGATGGCCGCTTCGGGTTACCAACGTCAAGCGCGGACCCACAGGGAGGGGCTCCCGCTTGAGATTGCCTGGCGAATCGTGAACGGACGAGGCTCAATAAACCCAAAAGTGAGGACACGGGCTCCTGATGCGGAGGCGGTTCTCTTTTAAAAGTTCGCTTCGATGAACTCACAAACGAGGCTCCCGCTCGGGATTCATCACGATTTGGCCCTTGGGGGCACTTGAGCGCTACACCTGTTACAGTTTTCCGATGACCGGTTAGACATCAAGAGTTCAGTGGGAACCCCATAGGGAGGGGCCCCCCGTTCGATATTTCTTGGTACTCACAAATGAGTGGCCCGCTCGAATTTTCCCGATTCTGAGTTGCGGGTGCTTTAGTGAGCGTGCGAGTGTGCGCGGTGATGGCGGTGATGATGGTGATGATAACGTCAATGACGACGACGACGATAACGGTGATGACGACGACGACGACAACGACGATTACGATGCTGGTTATTTTGGTGATGATGATAATGGTGATGATGATAATGGTGATGATGACGATAATGTTGACGACGACCACGATGATGATGGTGATGATGATGATGACGATGGTGGTGTTGGTAGCAGTGGTGGTGGTGGCGGTGCTTATCTTAATGATGCTGATGATGATTAGTGTAGACGTTCATGACGGGATGGTGGTCGTGATGATGATGGTGGTGGTGTTGATGATGAAGGTGATAACGATGGTGGTGTTGGTGATGAAGGCGACTAGAATGATGATGATGATGATGATGATGATGATGATGATGATGATGATGATGATGATGATGATGATGATGATGATGATGATGGTGGTAGCGGTGGTGGTGGTGCTGGTGGTGGTGATGATGATATGATATGATATGAAATGATATGACATGATATGATATGATGCTGATGCTGATGCTGATGCTGATGCTGATGCTGATGCTAATGTGTGGGTGGGTGGGTGAACTGGTCTTTCCTACGTGGGGTGATGCGTGCGAAGGGAAGCGAAACAGAGGGGGGGGAGTGTTTTGTGCTGCGCGTGCAGTGGTGTGCCACGGTACCCCAACACCCCACCGAGTATACGCGGACACCCAGAACAAGGGGCGAGCGGGGCCACTACGGGGGGGGGGGGGCGAGGCCGAGGCAGCAAGCAGGGGAGTAGATATGGAAGCTGGAGGGGGAGGCCCCGCGAAGTTGGTCGACGCAGGCAGCCCTCCGCCCGCGGCCGCTCCGGCCCGAGACCACCTCGCTGACGCGTGCCCCTCTCCGGACCGCGGCCCCAGGGCTCCGGATGCGTTCCCCGAGGGGGCAGCTCCCAGACCCCCTCGCATGGTGACAAAAGGCACGAAGGGCGTTTTTCAGACGATCGCAAGCATGGATCAAGGAGGGCGTGGATCAGCGACGGGTCCCGTTTCCATGAGAAAAAATCGTGGATGTCCGGCGCCGAGCGAGGCGGCACCGGCCGCATTGTGGGGAGGGCACCTCCCCCGATCCATGGATTTGGCGACCGCACGCCAAATCCATGGATCGCTAATCCATGTGTGCGCGCCCCCGAACGACGGGCGTTTTTGTTGTTTGTTGTGTTCCGCTGACGTTGTTTCTGGCCCCGGCGGGCCCTCGCCGAGCCCCAGGATCGCGAGCAGAGACAAAGTATGATATGAACAGCGGGTCCCGGGGAACGGGTCGAGGCCTCCAGGGGTCCACTCCTAGGCCTCTTAGATGGGGTCCGCGTAGACGGGGTCGAAGGATCGCGCCGCATCGCCGATGCATCGCCGATGCGGCTCAATGTGGGGCCCGTGTTTCCCCACGCCGACGTCGCCGATGCATCGCCGACGCCGCCAATGCATCGCCGATACATCGGCGATGCATAGGCGATGCGGCGCGATCCTTCGACCCCATCTACTCGGACCCCATCTAGGAGGCCTCCTCCATCTCCCCCTCCCCCTCGTCCCTCCTCCCCCTCCCCTCCCCCTCCCCCTCCCCTCCTCCTCCTCCTCTCCTCCTCCTCCTCCTCCTCCATCTCCCCCTCCCCCTCTCCCTCCTCCTCCTCCTCCTCCTCCTCCTCCTCCTCCTCCTCCTCCTCCTCCTCCTCCTCCTCCTTCTCCTCCGCCTCCTCCTCCCCCTCCCCCTCCCCCTCCCCCTCCCCCTCCCCCTCCCGTGCACACCCACGCCGTGGACAGCTCCCGACGTCGGGCGCCTGGGCTCTGCGCCCCGGGCCCGCCGCCGATGGCGGGGAGCGGCCCCCGGAGGCCGAGGCCGTGCAGCCGAGGCCGCGGCGCCCCCGTGCGGACGCGGCCGCGGCGTCCGCCGGCGGCGGCGGCCGCAGGCCTCGCCGGGAGTCTCGAGACTGGACTGGACGTAAGAGTGACCTTCAGAGCCCCGAATCATCAGGGGTAACTCGGGTCAGGGCTAACTCGGGTTCCTTTTTCGGGAATCCGAACCCGACTTACCCCGGACCCGAGTTACCCCGGATAACTCGGGCGTCCAGAGCCCCGAATCATCAGGGGTAACTCGGGTCAGGGGTAACTCGGGTTCCTTTTTCGGGAAGCCAAACCCGAGTTACCCCGGACCCGAGTTACCCCGGATAACTCGGGCGCCCAGGACCTTTCGCCGGAGTGACCTTTGGTGCGGGCACAGATGGGTTACCAGATGGCCGAAAACGAAGCTTTGTAGCAGCGGCCTGCGCGCCCAGGTTTGGTCCCCCCGCGGCCCCCAGGAGGCCGCGCACCAAGGGTCACTCTTGCCCAGGGTCGCTCCTGCGTGTAGCCGAGAGACGGGGTCCAGAAGCTGCAGATGTTCCAATCCCGCGAGTGCGGGTTTGGCATTTTCCATGCTGGATTTTGGGCTCAATTCGTATCCTCGGAGCTGAAGCGGGTATAGCCAGGTTCCCGGGCAAGGGGACCCGGTTAGTGGCAGGGCCCTGGGAAGTTTTTGACTTGGCCAGAACCAGTAAACCAGGTCTGCCGTAGCTGGTGTTTGTTCGGGTGACGGCAGTTCCGGTTAGCGGAAATGGGACGGGGGGGCGCCCCCGGTACAGATCATTAAACCAGGTTCCACAAAACCCAGTTCTGCCGGCGGCGGCGGCCGCAGGCCTCGTCGGGAGCCTTGATCGGGACGACCGACATGGGTACGGAAAGAAAGGGTACAATTCCCAACAGCAGTTCCTGTTCATTTGGAACAGGACTCGCTGTCGGTGTCGCCGCGGCCTGTGTCCATTCGAGACAGGAGGCCGCCTGCCCAACAGCGGCCGCTGTTGGTTCGGGACAACATTTGCTGTTGGGCAGTGTTGTGCCCATTCTTTCCGTGCCCATTTCGGGCGTCCAAATCGGGAGCCTTGAGACGGGGGTCAGTCGGGGCTCAAGAGTCAGGAGGAACAAAAACAGAGAGACACAATGAATCGTCGATTCCCCAGAATATATGGCGATATGGGAAGTATTTTTTGGGGGGGCAAAAACCCAGAAAGTATGGGAAACTATGGGGAATCCTCTTATTTGTGTGTATTCATTTGTATGTCCCAGGGCCCCTTCAAAGAGACGGGGTTCAATGCAAACGGGGGTCAGCCAGAGCGCCAGATCTTGCAGGATCCTACGAAGATCCCCTCTGGCTGACCCCGGTCAGCGAACCGCTGGTGGCCGCGAGGCGGCCGCGCATGTTGGCTGACCCAGGTTTGCGAAATCCTGCGTTGCAGTTTTTTTTTCCTGCATTGCAGTGTTTTGGTTTCCTGCTGATCCTGGTCTGAATTAACCCGGGTCAGAAGATCCCCGATTTCGGGGGCAACGTAGGGCTATGTCGGGCCTGTCCCTCTACAGGAGGGGTGCTCAACAAAAGGTCAAACAGATAGGTTGGGGGCGATTGTTGGATGGTTTGTTGATTTGATTTGTGCGTGCTATCTGCTTGACTGTGCTTTGGATGTTTCTCCCCAGATCCGCCTGTAGGGGGGCATGCCCGAGCTAAACGTAGGCGGGAAACAGCGCTCGTTTCGACTCCTCATACAATCAGAAACCTTAATAAGGACGCGCGACTTTGCTCAGGGTACCCTTGCGTCCTTGCTCTTCCTTGCTCTTGCGTCCTTGAGGTTCTCGTCGTCCGCCGCCCCAAAAGTCCCAACTTCGGCTTCCAAGGATCTTGCGTCCTTACCGCGCGTCCTTGTTAGAGTTTTTGACTGTAGTCGATTCGGTTCGATTTCGATAGCTTCGAGTTCGGATTCCGCTTCGGAGTTCGGTGTCGCAGTGGAGGCCTCCCTACAGCCTGCCGATGTCCGCCGATTCGACTTCTCCCGGCCTGGCTGCTGATTCCGCCGATCCTGTCCATTCCGACCGCCGATGCGATTCATCGGTTCGATGATGTGCTCTCTGGTGAAGTTGGGTGCACGGGGGGAATGCGTCGACCCCCAATCGCCCAGGGGGGGGTAGGGGGATGGGCTCAGAGTGGGAATAGGCGTAAGGGGGGATAGGCTCAGGGGGGACTTGCTCAACAGGGTGGCCGTTCTCGGCCGTTTTCCGGCCTCGGGACGTGTTCCTGCGGCTGCGCATCGCCGAGGGCATCCCTGGGCTGCCCAGATCGTCCCGAACGGCCGCCAGAGAGCCGAAGCACCGCCCCAAGACCAACGACAGGGGGGGGGGCGGTTAGGCTAAGGGGGAATACATCGACCCCCAATCGCTTACTCATCGCCGCTAGGAGCCCGATAGCCCCCCCCCGCCCAGGAGCGGGCGGATTTTTTGATCGGGGGCCCGTCACCCCTCGAGGTTCTACAGGGCGGAGGACGCCTCCGTCGCCGGCGGCCACCTGTTCACCTTCCTGCCGTCCCTGGAGGGCAAGTGGAGCGGCCACCAGGTCCTTGCTTTCGCACGCCTGTTCTCGATTCGATGCTGACTGATCCCGCCAGGTGGCCAGAAAGCCACATGCCCCCGTCGTCGTCATGCCTGGGCGTGGCTCGGGCTGCGGGCCATGTGTCCTCGTGCATGCTTCCGCGCTGGTTTATCCACCGCAGCCGTTGGCACGAGACCTGCAGCTTCCGAACGAGTGCCCGTGCGCGGAGAAGGCAGCGAGCGCTCTGACTTCTGCTGAGTAGTCTTGCGTTTGATTATTTTAAGCGCTTCGTTTATTCTGCCAGCCCGTATTGTGCCATCGCAGGCGTTTGGCTTGCGCGCTCGTGGCCTCCTGGGGCCTGTTGGGGGCCGTTAGGGGGTCTCTCGGGGGGCTTCATTTTGGGCCTCTCGGGGGCCTCGTGGGGCGCTGGTTTATCCACCGCAGCCGTTGGCACGAGACCTGCAGCTTCCGAACGAGTGCCCGTGCGCGGAGAAGGCAACGAGTGCTCTGACTTTTGCTGAGTAGTCTTGCGTTTGATTATTTTAAGCGCTTCGTTCATTCAGCCGGCCCGTATTGTGCCATCGCAGGCGTTTGGCTTGCGCGCTCGTGGCCTCGTGGGGTCTGTTGGGGGCCGTTAGGGGGTCTCTCGGGGGGCCTCATTTTGGGCCTCTCGGGGGCCTCGTGGGGCCTCCAGGGCACCTCCTGGGCTCTCTTGGGGGTCCTGCATGGGGGCCTCCTGGGGGCCTCTTATGAGGAGGAGGAGGAGGAGGAGGAGGAGGAGGAGGCGGAGGAGGAGGAGGAGGAGGAGGAGGAGGAGGAGGAGGAGGAGGAGGAGGAGGAGGAGGAGGAGAGGGAGGAGGAATAGGATGCCTCTTGAGTCCTTCGGAGGCTGTCTTGGGGTCCTCTCTGGGCAGTCGTGGGTCCCTGTTTGGGTGCTTCGGAGTCGTCTTGCAGGTGTTCGGGGACGTCTTAGGGGTCTCTTGGGGCGTCTTGTTGCCCTCGTGGGCTGCCGCCTTGCGGGCCTCTTGGGGGCCCCTCCCCTCCCCCTCCCCCTCCTCCTCCTCCTCCTCCTCCTCCTCCTCCTCCTCCTCCTCCTCCCTCAACCTCCCCCTCCCCCTCCCCCTCCCTCCCTCCAAGAGCGATCCTGGGGGCCTCTCGCAGCGTCGGGAGCCTTGCAAGGCGAGAGCGCTACCATCTTTGCACCAGAGTGGGAAGTCAATGGTTTTTTGGCCTCTGGAGGTCCTCTTGGATCCCTCTTGGGACGTCTGGGGGGCCTCGTGGTCCGTCTTGGAGCCATTTTGGGGTCGTCATCGGTGCATCTTGGGCCGTCTCGGAGACATTTGGGGGCCCCCGCCTTCTTGGAGGCATCTTTGAGGCCATCTTGGGCCATTCTGGCAATCTTAGAAGCGATTTAGGGCTTTCCTCCTAGGTTGTCTGGTCCTTCCCAGGCTTTCCAGGTGGCTGGCGGGTTGGGCCGAGACCCCATCGGGAACCTTTTTAAAACACCAGAACGAATCAAACACTCAGCACGCTGTGAACTGCTGTGACGGCGTAACGAAGACGCCTGCGGCGAATCACTGCCACCCCCTGTCTCTCAGAAACGCCCACGCGGTCAAACGTTGTGCCGAAGTACTCTGTGTTCCCCCAGCCGTTGTGGATTTTTTTGGGGAACATTTGCGAGCGGAAGAGGAAGGATGAGGAGAGGGAGGAGGAGGAAGAGGAGGAGGAGGAGGAGGAGGAGGATCAGGAGGAGGAGGAGGAGGCGGAGGACGAGGAAGAAAGAAATGAATAAATGAAACATAAAAAGAAAACGAATCATATTATAATACCAGTGATAATAGTACCAACAATTATAAACAACAACAGCAATAATTTTAAGACTGTTCGCCCTTATATGCTCGAGTGTCCAATAACGCGTATTTCCCAAACCCTCGATACCCGCCCTCTTCGTCTTCGATCGAACCCCTTTTGAGGGGTATACCTTTCTTCCCTGCAGGCCGGGCCCCGGCAAGCGGCGGGGCGGCCGCGGACCGTCGGCCTGGCCAGCGGCAGCGCTGATCGGCGGGGCGGCCGCGGACCGTCGACCCGACCCCAAGAGGGACGGACAGGGGACCGACCACGACGACGACGACGACCACGACGACGACGACGGCGACGACGAGCGAAAGCGAGAGCGAGAGAGAACGACAGCAGGGCCACGAAGGGCACAAAGTAGGCCACGAAGGGCGACAGCGGGGACACGAAGGGAATGCGTATGGGGCCACGAAGAGCGCGAACGAGCGGGGGCCACGAAGTGCAGATAATGCGGGGCCACAGAAGGCAACTATGGGGCCACTGGGGGTAGCAACTGGGCCACGTAGGACAGTGAGGGGGGACACAAATGGCGACAGCGGGGCCACGAAGGGCATGCACATGGGGCCACAGCGGGCGCGACTCCTGGGTGCCTGGGTGTCGGGAGCGCGGCGCTTGGGCAAACTGCAGGACATCCCAACGCAAGGCCATTCTTCAGTAAGTTGCAAGCGAGTCTCCAGCGAGAGCGCGACTGCAGAGTACCGGGAGAGCGATTCTTGAATAAATTGTAACGAAGTCCCAAGAGAGAGCGCGATTCCGGAATAAAATGCGAGGAAGTCTCTGGCGGGAGCGGGGGTCCTGGCTAAATTGTAAGGAAGTCTCAGGCGGGAGCCGTTGTTGTTGTAACCCGGGGGCCAGGGGCCCAGTTTGAGCATCAAGATTTTTTCTGTCAAAAAAACAGGGTGCGAGCGTCGATGGGGCACATTTTGATTGAGAAAAAGAAGCAGTATGCACTGGTGGGGGGATCAACAATAATTATTCTTCAGAAATTAGAATTCAACAGAACGAATAATAATAGCAAGAAGAAGAAGACGAAGAAGAAGAATAATAAGGCCTCTCGAGGCCCTTTTGGGGGCCTCATGGGGGCTTCCTGGGAGTCCCTTGGGTGCTTCTGCCTCCTGGGCGCTCTCGGGGCCACCTCGGCGGCCTCTGTGGCCGTCTCGGACCGTCGGGAGGCCGAACATTTGGGAAGCGCCAGCATCCTTCCAACATCTTAAGACAAGGACTGATCTCGCCCTCGGCTGGTCTGCCTGGGGATCCTCTCGGAGGCCTCTTGCGCCGTCCTGTGGGCCTCTCGGGCCGCCTCGGGCGACCTTGAAGCCATCTTGGCCCCTCTTGGGGGCATCTCGGCCCGTCTTGGAGACACCTTGAGGCCATCTTGGGCCCTGCTGGGGCCATCGCGGCCGTGTCAAAGACCATCTTGGCCGTCTCGACGGCCCTCTCAGAGCCGTCCTGGGAAGTCTAACGGAGGAGGGGGAGGGGGAGGAGGGGGAGGAGGGGGAGGAGGAGGAGGAGGAGGAGGCGGAGGAGGAGGAGGAGGAGGCGGAGGCGGAGGCGGAGGAGGAGGAGGAGGCGGAGCGGAGGAGGAGGAGGAGGAGGAGGAAGAGGCGGAGGAGGAGGCGGAGGAGGCGGAGGAGAAGGAGGAGGAGGAGGAGGAGGAGGGGGAGGAGGAGGAGGAGGAGGAGGAGGAGGAGGAGGAGGAGACGAGTTTTCGGGTGTCTCCCTCATGCCGCGTCCTTCCGGGTGGCCGGCGGGCTGGGCCGACGGCCCCCTGGCAATCTTCAAAGATGACCAACAACTACCTGACATGAAGTCGGGCCTGTCCCTCTACAGGAGGAGTATTCAAAAATAGGCAAAAGATACTCTGGGGACGATTTTTGAGTACTTGTTTTTTTGGTCGTATGTGTTTTTAAATTATGTTTAGTTGTTCGCCCAAAATCCGCCTGTGGGGGGACATACCCGACCTAAACCTAACATTCGGCACGCCGTGCACGCCTGTGGCAAGCCACAGGGGCGGCGGATATACCTGGTTCCGGCACAATCCGCCCCCGTGCCTAGGTTTTTGGTCAGAGTCCTCCTGGATGCCTCTTGGGGTCTCTTGCGATGCCTCTCCGGATCGTCTTGGGGGCAGTCTTGAAGCCACTTAGGGGCCGCTTTGAGGTCTCTCGGGGTTTCTTTTGGGCATCTTGGGGGCTTCCTGGGGCCTCTTGGGGGCCTCTGGGGCGCCTGTTGGCGGTCTCAGGGGTCCTCTTGGGGTGGAGGGCTCGACATGGCAGTTCGTGTTCTTCTTTATGGGCTCCTCTTGGGGCGTTTTTGTAGCCCTCTTGGGCCATCTTAGAGGCCTCTTGGGCCGTCTCGGGGCCCTCTTGGGCCGCCTTGCGGGCCTTTGGGGGATTCCTTGGGCCATCTCTGGGCAATCCCGAAGGCCTTTTTGGCAGTCTTGGAGCGTCGGAAAGCAGAAAAGGCAGGAACGTCAAAGCCATTCAATAATCAGTGTAACCTCAATGATTTTTTCCTCTCGGGGCCTTTGGACGTGCTCTTGGGGCTCTCTGTTGGAGCGTCATTAGGTCCTCTTGGGCCGCCTGGAGGTCATCTTCGATGTTTTTGGGGCGATGTTTCGGCGACGAGAGGCTTCCGTGGACCGTCTTGGGGCTTTCTTGCCCAGTTTTTGACCCGCTCAGGGCACGAAGAAGTCACGCGACAAGACATGAACCTCAGGACAGAGGACAGAGGACTCCAAGGGACCTGAGGACACTCCATCTCGTGCCTCGCGACACGGTGGCGGATAGGGGGGCGAGGTACCCTCCCGGAGGCCGCCGAGACGGGGCAGAGAACTCTGGCAGAACCCCTTGCAGAGCGCCGACCTCTCGCCCCACGCCCCGTGCCCCCGCACCTCCGACGGCTCCGTGCTCTTCAGCCTCGGGGCCCTCAGGACCCCGAGCCTGGAGCCACTCCCCCCCCCGACCCCTTCCCCTCTCCCTCCCCCTCCACCCCCCCTCTTCCCCCCCTTCCCCCCTCCCCCCCCCCCTCCCCCCCCCCCCCCCCTCCCCTCCCCCCCCCCTCCCAGATGATCCAGGTTATCGCCGACTCAAAAAAGCACGACCCTCTCCCCGGGGCAGGCCCCTTGCCCCCGCGAGCCGCGCTTCCTGCAGCGGCCCCCCCCTGGGGTTCGCACACGGAGGCCGCCACCGGAGGGCCGGGCGCGGAGGAGCGCCTCCGGGCCCGACAGCGTCGAGTCCGCGTGGCGGCTTCGGGGTGGGGGAGCAGAGGCGCCAGGGTGGAGGAAAGCCGGGGCGGGGGAGGAAGAGGAGGAGGAGGAGGAGGAGGAGGACGAGGACGAGGACGAGGACGAGGACGAGGACGAGGACGAGGACGAGGACGAGGACGAGGAGGTCCGCGCGCCGCCGCAGGTCGTGCCCGCTGCGGCGCGGGGACGGCAGGTGACTTCGTCCTTCGAGGTCTCCTTCGAGGAGATCCCTATGTCAAGCAGTGGCGAAGCGTCCTGGCTCGCCTATAGGCCTACCGAGCAATGTTATAAAACCTTTTTGTGGTTTCCACGACATGTTTTTGGAGCAGTTCTGGCTGGGACTGTTTTGTTTGAACACATCGGGTTAACGGTCTAAGAGTAGTGTTTCTGTTCTGACAATATTTTGGGGTTCTAAGAACATCTCTTGGTAGGACTATAGGAATGTTGGGACGGTCGGTCCCTGCTCAACTATGGGCTTGGCGACTTCTCTCCGATCGACTTGCGGGGGCCAGTTTGGACACATCGAGGGAGATCCGAACCCAGAGAAGTCACGGGAAGCCCAGAGATGGCCAGACAGGCCTGGCAAACAGATCGTGAAAGTTCGGCGCGAGTCGAGGGCCGGTGAACCTCGGGAGGTGTGTGTGTGTGTGTGTGCGTGTGCGTGTGTGTGTGTGTGTGGTTGTGTGTGTGGTTGTGTGTGTGGTTTTGTGTGTGTGGTTGTGTGTGTGTGGTTGTGTGTGTGGTTGTGTGTGTGTGTGTTGGCCCAGGCGTGTCTTTACCCCGCTCGGCTCCGCCGACGGCGCGCCGCCCGTCCCGGCCCTCGGTGGCGCCGCGTGCGTCGCATCTGGCGTGCCTCGGTCGGCAAGCACACGTCTGGCGCTCACACGCGCTGCGAGGATCCTCGAGAGGGGCAGGAGGAGGCGTCGAGCCCCCGACCCGGACGTGCGACGTCCCGAGTCGACCCGGAAGTCCGACGTGCTGTTCTTTCAGTGCGGGGCCCTCGGAAGTCTCGAGCCGCTCCCGGGGGACCGGCTTTTTGCATCCCGAGCCGTCCTTCGACGCTCCTTGCGGCCCAGCGAGGGCCTCTTCGAGGCCGAGAGCGGCGAAGCTGGAGCTCCTCAGTGCGCTGGGCTCCTGGGAAGTTGTCAAGCCCTCCACGAGTCGAGTCGGGGATCGACTGCAGAATCGATGTACCCCAAGCTTGAAAGATGTCCGTCGAACCTATGGGGCAAAGAGACGTAGAATGTTCGCAGATGCGCGAACATTTAATTTGTTCGATAGATTCGACGAACCAATCACTACTCGATCCCCGTCGTAGAGGAGGAGGAGGAGGTGGAGGAGGTGGAGGTGGTGGAGGAGGAGGAGGAGGCCGAGGAGGAGGAGGAGGAGGAGGAGGAGGAGGAGGAGGACGAGGAGAAGAGGAGAGGAGGAGGAGGAGGAGGGAGGAGGAGGAGAGGAGGGAGGAGGAGGAGGAGGAGGAGGAGGAGGGAGGAGGAGGAGGAGGAGAACGAGGAGAATGAGGAGGAGGAGGAGGAGGAGGAGGAGGAGGAGGAGGAGTCGACGAACATATCACGTTTGGGGCCCGCGAATGTCGCAGCCGATGCCTCCTCGCACGAGGAGAGCCGCTGGCGCGTGCGGACCAGCACGGCGGGCGCGGGCGGCTGCGCGAAGGTCCGGCAGGCCACGCTCGAGCCCCACGGCCACGGGCGGTGCCGCGTCGCCGCCGAGGGCGCCCCGCGCGAGGCCGCGTACGAGGAGCGGTGCCCGCTTCGATTCCCCCGATCTGTTTCGATTCCAACTGCGTCCTCCGATCCGTCTCGATTCGATGTCCGACTGCGTCCTCCGGTCTGCCTCGGTTCCGACTGCGTCCCCCGATCTGACTGCGACTGCATCCTCCGTTCTTCCTCCGCCGCTCTGCTTCGATTCGATTTCGATGGCGTCCGATCCCGATTCGATGCGACTTCGGATTCCGATTTGGGCTCCGATTCTTCTCTGGAGGCATGCCAGCCTGCCGATTTCCGCCGGTTCGGCTTCTCCCGACTCGGCTGCCGATTTCTGCCGATCCGATTCATTTCGATCACCGATCCGGCTTGTCGATTCGATTCTGGGCTCTCCTGCGAGGAGCGGTGCGGCGACCTCTTCGCGACGCTGACCGAGCGCTGCCCCTGGACTCGAGGAAGAAAGCATCGACACGCTTTTTGACGTCGCGGCGCGGCGGCGGCGATCCTCGACGAAGAAGAACGGCACAAGCAGAAAGTTTTGGCGCTCCGCGCGGATCGCTTGGATCCGCGCTGGGCCCCCCTGCGCCAGGGAGGGGGGCCCAATCCGCGCGGAGCGCCGAGAGGTTGTGTCTATCATGGCGCTCTCTCGTCTGTCCAGGGATGCCTCGACCCACGTTTTTTTTTTTTCGTCGCGGCGCGGCGGCGGCGACCCGCACGCGCGTCGGGGCGAGAGCCCGGGGCACGGACGTCGCGAGCTCTCCCCCGCACGCAGGGGCGCGAAGCGGCGGCCGCGGAGGGCGGAGCGCCGGGCGCGGGGGCACTCTCACGCGGCGGGGCTGCGGCAAGGATCGAAGAACGGACAGCGACGTAAGCTTAGATCGGGCGTGTCCCTCGAACAGGAGGAACATCCAAGAGTAATCAAAAGATAGGCTTGGGACGATTTTTTGACATTTTTTTTTGTTGTTTTTTAGTATTTTGGGGTATTTGTTCGACTATTTGTAATTTGTCGTCCAAAATCCGCCTGTGTGGGGACAGGCCCGACTTCAACGTAAGCACACTGTCTCCTGGAGGCCCGTGCGGATTTCTCGGAGCGGCCTTTGGGCCCCCATGGCTGCCTCTTCGGCGCCGCCCCTGGCGTGACGTCCGGCCTGTCCCTCTACCGGGGGGAATATTCCGGAATAGTCAAAAACAATACTCTTGGGACGGTTCTTTCTACCATGTTTGAGCATTTTTTAAAGATGTGTGGGGTACTTTTTATTTTGCGTCCACAATCCGCCTGTAGGGGGACGTTACATGCCCGCCCTAAACGTAAACATGCTTCCTTGGAGGCCCGTGCGGATTTCTCGAATCGGCCTTGGGCCCCCTGGCTGCCCCTTCGGCGCCGCCCCTGGCGCGGGGGGCCCAGCGCCGATCCAAGAACCGCACGCAGACCTCCGAGAAACTGTGTTCCCTGGAGAGAGAGAATCCTGAGATCTGGGCGCTGCAGTTGTTCCACACCCGTCGCTTTCGCCCGGCGCCCGAGACCATACAGGCCGATCCGGCTCGAATAATGCCGCGGAAAGATGGGGTCCAGGGCATCGGGCCGTAACTTTTCGCGATGTCGCAGGTGTTTCGCAACGTCGGATCTCAGGGTGAGCACAGACTTCCGGAGGGCCGCGCGGAGTCGTTTTTTGGCTGTTTCTTTGTTCTGGTGTACATTTGTGTATACATAGTAGAAATAGTATTGTCATCAAACAGATAGTATGTAGTATATAGTACATAGTACAGAAATAGTTAATAGAGCATATGTACTCATGATAGAAATAACACACAATAGTAGTATATGTATACATGATAGATAGCCCTTGGGGTCAGACCGCGCGTTATGCCCCCCCCCCCCCCCTCCACCCCTCCCCCCCATAAACGTAACGTCTTCCAACCCTCCTTTGTGCCCCAGTGCGCCCCCGGCACTGCCGCACTGCCGCAGTGCGCGTGTGCAGCGCAGTCTCGCAGCAAGGTGCGGTCGCAGCGCCAGCGTTGCCTCGCGGGTCACTGTGGCGCTCGCGGGCTGTTTGCTGTTGCGGCGCTCGCAGCCTGCTGTGGTGTTCGCAGGCTACTGTGGTGTTCATGGGCTAGTGTGGCGCTGACAGGCTCGTTGCGCGTGCTCGCAGACGCGGTGTTGCGCTCGCAGGCTACTGTTGTTCTTGCAGGATTAGGCATTCTTTGTTGCGCACGCGCGGGGAATTCAAACGGCATTCTGTTGCTGGCAGGGCATCAACACTTGCAGGTGGTAGTAGTGGCAGAACTAGTGACAAAGGCAGTAGCAGCAGCAGGGGAATCAGGAGGAGGAGGAGGAGGAGGGCTCGAGGTGGACGTAGTCGTCATACTCGTCGTCGTGGTCGTTTTGTGCTTGTGATTTAATCTGAAATGTCGCGGACCATTCCTCGTCTCTTTCTTTTCGTCGTCGTCGGTGTCGTCGTCGTCGTCGTCGTCGTCGTCGTCTTCGTCGTCGTCGTCGTCGTCATCCTTCCGACGGCTTTTTGCAGTGTTCGCCAGTGTTCAGAGGGCGAAGAACGGTATAAAAATAAACTGTTTCGCCGTGGGGGGCGCCTGCCCCTGGGCGGCTGGAAAAGTTTATACCCCTACGGTGCCACCGTAAGGGTATCAATTTTCCAGCCGCCTTGGGGCAGGCGCCCCCCACGGCGAAAAAGTTTATGCTATACCGTTCTTCGCCCGTTAAAGTGTAGCGTGCGTGCTTACAAGCACCATTGTTGCCCGCAGCCTCCTTCGGGCTGAGGGGCGCCCAGACCTCTCTCCCAGAGCACGACGCTACAAGAGAAGGGTGATCCACGCAGGCGTTGTGGTGCACACCTGCGCTTCTGGTGCACACGGGCACTGCGGCGTGCGCAGGCCCTGCGGTGAACGCGGGCTGCTGCGGTGCAAGGAGGCGCTGGGGTGCGCGCAGGCACTGTGGTGCACGCAGCCACTGCGGCGCACAGAGGCGCTGTGGTGCAACGCGGCTGCGGTGGTGCACATTGTGGTGCGCGCTGCGATGCATTCTGTGGTGCGCACAGGCGCTGCGATGTGGGATCCACGCTGCGTGGGGCACACTGCGCGGGGCGGGGGCGTTACACTGGGCCCCCCCCCTAGCGCCCGTTGTCTCCGCGAGTGCGAACATGCTCTCTCGGGTCGGCGCTGGATCCCGCCCGGGGGGAGCAGCCTCCGTCGCCGCCTCTGGCGCGCCCCCCCGCGCGCCAGGGAGGGGAGGGGGAGCCAGGGCGCAGGTCCAGGAAGTCCGCGCGGACCTGCGAATGTTTCTGTTCAGAGCTCCATAGGGGGAAGGTCTGATCGGGGGGGTCTCCGATCTGAGCTCTCTTGGAGGCTTCGGGTTCTGGGGGTTCTGGGCAACAGGCCGCCGTTGCATGGCTGGTCTGGTGGTGGGCGGGCCTGGAATTGCTCGTCGGGGAGGCTTGTGATCCTTTGTCTTCATTGTGAGATTCGGAGGGGAGGGGGTGACCTGGCCAGGTGCTCGAACGGAAAGCTGCAGGTTGGGGACGGGGCTGGACAGGGGCGAGGCAAGTGACGAGCCGCGTTTCTGCAGCTTGGGGCTTGGCAGCAGAGGCGGCCCAGGCTTCCTGGCCCCAGCCCCCCCCCAAAAAAAAACAGAAGAACAACGCATGAGCCTGACAATACAACACATACTTAGAATGAGCAACATGCTTTTGAGCATAAAGAAGATAACCAGCATTATACACATGTGTGTGTGTGTGTGCATGCCCGTGCCCTTCGTTTCCTCTTCGAAGGACGGGAGGCCTCGTGCAGGTGGAGGTCTGGGCCTTGCAGACCGTCGGGAGCGAGGGGGAGCCGTGGCTCACCCGCACGCGCACCGACTACAGCCGAGGAGGGAACAGCGGCACAGGCAGAAACTTTTGGAGCTCCGCGAGACTTTCCTCGGGAGCATGTCGTATCCCCCTCCTCCTCACCCTCCTCCTCCTCCTCCTCTTCCTCCTCCTCCTCCTCCTCCACTCCCTCCTCCTCCTCCTCCTTCTCCTCCTCCACTCCCTCCTCCACTCCCTCCTCCTCCTCCTCCTACTTCTCCTCCTCCTCCTTCTCCTCCTCCTCCCCTCCTCCTCCTCCTCCTCCTCCTCTCCTCCTCCTCTCCTCTCCTCCTCCTCCTCCTCCCTCCTCCTCCTCCTCCTCCTCCTCCTCCTCCTCCTCCTCCTCCTCCTCCTCTCCTCTCCTCCTCCTCCTCCCACTTCCACTCCTCCTCCCCCCTCCTCCTCCTCCTCCTCCTCGCCCTCCCCCGTCTCCTCCTCCACTCCTCTCATCCTCCTCCTCCTCCTCCTCCTCCTCCTCCTCCTCCTCCTCCTCCTCCTCCTCCTCCTCCTCCTCCTCCTCCTCCTCCTCACCTCCTCCTCCTCCTCTCCTCCTCCTCCTCCTCCTCCTCCTCCTCCTCCTCCTCCTCCTCCTCCCCCACAGTTGCACAACATGAATACTACTCTCTCCCCTTGTGGCGTCCGGGAACCGCGTACTGGTCTTTTATACAGGGTTCCCTGGAAACGGGTTTTCGCTTGGGTTTTTGTTCAACATGCTGTTCTCGCGGAAGCGCTTGCCTCATTTTCGGGCTACCGTCCGTTCCGAATCGTGCTCCCGCTGCATCGTTGGCCTCAATTCCGCGCTTCCGCTCGTTCCGAATCGCGCACCCGCTGCAGCGCTGGCGTCATTATTTCCAGCGCCATGCCACGGCATTTCTCTCGGTCCTTCCAAATAGGCCCCGAAATCTACATAATGGTCTCCCGAAGAAACAATCAGAAGTGATTACACGTTCGGTGTCGATTCGTTCATTTGTGGGGCCGCAGAAGCCCCCACCCCACTTTGGGTCGTCGCCACGCCATGCTATGTCAGGCTACGCGTCCTCATTTCTGCGCTTCCGCTTTTTTGTTGTTGTTTTTGTTCACCCCTCCCCTCCCCGAAAAGCGGCTCTCGCTGAAGAGCTGGCCTCATTTTCGGGCTACCGTTCGTTCAGAATCGTGCTCCCGCTGCAGCGCTGGCCTCATTTCTGCGCTTCCGCTCGTTCCGAATCGTGCTCCCGCTGCAGCGTTTCATTATTTCCAGCGCCATGCCACGGCATGGTGCTCGGTCCTTCCAAAGCGGCCCCGAAATCTAGAACGTGGCCCCCCGAAGAAACCATCGGAAGTGATTCCTCATTCGGTGTCGATTTGTTGATTTTTGGGGCCGCCGAAGCCCCCCCTCCCACTTTCGGGCGTCGCCACGCCATGCTATGTCAGGCTACACGTCCTCATTTCCGCGCTTCCGCGCTTAGTTTGTTTTTCAAATGCTGCTCTCGATGAAGCGCTGCCTCATTTTCGGGCTACCGCTCGTTCCGAATCATGCTCCCGACGCACGCACGCAAGAAACTGCACCTAGCCGCAAGAAGCCGCACGCCATGCTATGTCAGGCTACGCGTCCTCATTTC